AAACAACATGGCTGAGTTGTGAAAACATAGCATAAGTCAAATACAAAATACACGGTTGAGTAATATTTCTCACAGAGAAAACAAAAAAATACAGGTTTCTTGCACCATTCTGGTGATAACTCTTCCAGGTATCCAAGCTTCATTAAACTCCTATGCATTGTCTCTGCTGAATCTGTCACTTCTTTCCATCTCCTCCATTCTCTTTTTGTTCAAGATTTTCTTTCGCTCAGATCTGAAAAAAAAAACAATTATCCAAATATTGGTATCAGATCACAAACAAACTGAAATGAATACATCCCACAATTGTCAACTTTGGTATTTTTTGGAATGTATTTTTTATTCTTCTCGGAATGCACACTTCTTATAGTTAGGTTTTCGAAGATTGACAGGAAGTAACCCAACCACAACTGCATATATAAATCAGACGTAAAAGAAAACATAACTGAGCCACAACATAAAAAAAACACAGCCACAAACTCGAAAAACTCAGTTGAGAAGACGATTTCGAACGATTGCATCGAAGAAGATTTCGTAGAAACGTTTGCAGAGATGACGATTAAGGCGAAGACGGTATCAGAGAAGAAAGTTTGAGAATTTTAGACGATAAAATACAATGTCGACTCGGAAGATTAAGGTTTAACCAACAAATGAAAAGGTCGTGATTTTTTTTTCAACATGAAAAGTTTAACTTAGAACGATAATCCATTGCCTTCATTTTTATATATCATAATAATTACAATTATTAATGACGTGTATATAGATTAATTAGTGACATGAATTTAATAATTAAAATAATCTTAATAAAAAAAAACTAACCAAAAATCTTAATTGTAATTTATTAAAGATCTACAAACATTCTAGTAACTTTTAAAAGATATGAGGTGATTGGTTGGGCTTTAAATAATGAATTTAGCTTTATTTTCTATCTACAACCATATAAATCAACAATCATGCTTTAAGTAGTTTTTAAAGCTAAAGTCAAAAAAATAAAAAAGTGGCTGTAGGAGCCTTATTTCCTAAAGCAAACAAATACTCGTGATGATTGGTTCGACTGTGGCTGTAAAAATTTAGCTGTAAAAGTTTAGCTATAGGTAAGTTGGTTGTAGCTGTTAAGTTATTATGTAGATTTTATTGCAGAGACTTTTGTTGTAGTTAAATTTGTTGTAGCTGTAAGATATATGCTGTAGATATTTCAAAATATATATGTGATCTATATATAAAATAGTTATTTTTATCAGCTAAAATAATTTATATTAATGATTTCTATAAATTATCAAAATTTATTGTTATTTAAAGTGTGATATATAAATAATATTTTCTGTTATTTAAAATATTTGAATAATTTTTAAAACACCTAGAACTAAATTAAAATATTGATAGATATTTTATTATGATTATCTAATTAATTTGATATTAGATTTTTTTTTTCTTTTCATTTTACAGTTTTTACAACATATAAAACAAAGATGTATGTGTTTTGCCTAAAATACATAATAATAAATTTTGCTTTATTTTTTTCCGTAGCTTTAAAAATAAAGCTAAAGCATGATTGGTACAAGTTAATAGAAATTTGTTGTAGGTTTTGACTAACAAAAAATAAAGTTACAACATGATTAGAAAAGTTTAGTGTTTTAAAAATAAATAAAGCTATAGTAAGAAGATAAAGTCCAACCAATTACCTTAACTGATGTAGGAATATCTTTTTTTCCATTTTTTCTTATTTAATTTCTACAGCTATATTAGACACAGTTACATCCAAAAATTCTACAGATTAATTTTTAAAATAAAACTTTTATTTATATTATTCTATTAAATACCACAACTTTGATATAAGATTCTAGTAATTTTCTCTTGAGGCATCTCCTCTAGAGCCCCTAAATGTCAAAAGGCAATCTCTTATAGACACCTATATAAACATAAAGATAAACATTTATTTAAAAATCGGAAATGGCTGAAATGACATAAAAACCGTGGAATAGTTGAAGTATTTACAAGTTTTACCAGGGTATAACCCACCCGCCCCGACCCGACCCGGATTTATGGTCAATCCAATTAAACCGAATCGTCTAACCGTTTAACCAATCCGACGAAACCAAACCAATCCCTCGAAACAAATCCAGGCCTCGAAACCGAACCAATCCATCGAAAACCAAACCAAATCTGTCGGTTTTTAATAACTCACTCAATTTAGTTACTCGATTTTCTCATTTCGTTTCTATTCTCGAACAAACCCCAATTTCGTTCCTCCCCTAAAATCAACCGTGAGAACGAGAGGAGGAGAGAAGAATTCGGAGGATTCAATCGAGTGCGATGGTGGTCGAAACGAGAGGAGGAGGTAAGAGGAAGGATAATCCAACGAAGGAAGAGTCTCGGAAAGTGAATTTTGCAAAGACGACGGCGGAGGGCTCCAATAATATCAAGAAGACGACGACGGAGGGCTCCAATAATATCGAGAAGACGACGACGGAGAATGTTGACTCGACGACAAAGATAACAGAGACTGTTGAATCAACGGTACAGACGAGGGAGACGAGTAAGGATTCGACGGAAAATGATAATGAGAATGAAGTTTTTGAAGAAGGAAATGGAGGTGGAGAAGAAAATGATGATGAGAATGAAGGTTCTGTTGAAGGAAATGGAGGCGGAGAAGAAAAGGATGATGAGAATGAAGGTTCTGAAGAAGGAAATAGAGACGGAGAAGGAAAGGATGATGAGAATGAAGATTCTAAAGATGAAGGTTCTGAAGAAGAAAAGGATGATGATAATGAAGGTTTTCAAGAAGAAAATGAAGAAGGAGAAGAGTTAGCAAATGGAGATAGAGCAGGAAACGAGAATGAGAATCCACCAGAACCCGAGGTAAGAAATTATCACTTAGGTATACTAGAGGAAGTTGGATATAACTTGGATAACTTGTAGCAAAATTGGTTATAACTTGAAGCAAAATTGGATATAACTTTAGTATAACTTGGATATAACTTCGGTATAACTAATTTAAAACTTTGGTATAACTAATTTAAAACTTTGGTATAACTTGCAGGGTTTGAATGGAAATGTTGGACTCGATATAATCAAACCAACGAGGATGTTCTTCAAGCCCAGTGAATACAACAAAAAAATAAAGCTTGGCACAAGGTGTATGATAGCTAGCATGATTAAGACGCTAAAAAACCTGAAACCCAAGCTGTCTAACGCGGAGTGGAGCTGGTTCACGGAGCATCCCCAATTCAAACACATTTTCCACATGAAGAGTGAGAAAAACCATAGGGTTCAGGGAATGTGGATGTTGTTGCTGCGTACTGCTGATATCGAGAGGGTGAGAGAGAGGTGGTTTATTGTGAATGGGGTTTCCATCCGTTACGGGATAAGGGAACATGGTTTGATATCTGGGCTATTCTGCCACAACTATCCTCTCGGCTACAAAGAGCTTGGTGGGACGAGGTTCGTTGATCGTCATTTCAAGGAAGGAGAACCTAGAAGGTTAGAGGATGTTAAGAAGAAGCTGGTGAACATGGGACCCCACAAAGACAGGCTGAGGATGGCGGTTCTATTCTTCTTAGCTTCTGTTGTTTGTGCACAAACCAATGTTGGACACAATGCTAATGATGTGTTGGAGGTGTTCCAGAGAGCAGTGGACGATCTTGACTACTGCAAGTCCTTTCCGTGGGGGAGATTTTCATATGATTACATGCTGAAGGAGATCTCTCACACAATGGAGCAAACATTATCGCCGCTTCCAGGATTTTGTGTTCCACTAGAGGTATGCAAAATCCCATTAAACCAGTCAGTCGCTATTGTTGTCAACTGATGCAAAATGTTTTGTGGATAACAGCTTCTTGCATACGAGGCAATTCCTGAGCTAGGAGTTGCGTTCAGAGAGCCTGTTGTTGGAGCTTTTTCCGACTGTCTGAGGATGTGCAAGACCTCATTCAAACGAAATGGATCGACAGGGGTGTCACTTGCTGTGATAAACAAGGAATCGGGTAACACAACAGTAAGTCTTCTTGGATAACTGTGGTAGAACTATGGTAGAACTGTGAAATTGTGGTAGATCTATGGTAGAACTGGAAAACTATGGTAGAACTATGGGCGAAGCTTAAAAATTAATTATGTTTGTGGCAGGTTATTGACAGCATCATCCCCACCAAAACTGCACAAGAAGAAAGATTGTTGAATGAGATTTTGGAAGATGAAGACGACATTGATGTACCCGATTTAGCTGTGGAGAGTTGGGATAAGTGTTTGGATGCAGGTGAAAATATATTTTTCTAAGACATGTTCGAGGAAGATGTAGCTGGGCGTGCAAAACAGCCAAAACCGATTGAAGATGCAGCAGGAGATGGAGTACAGATAGGTGAGCAGTCGGTTCAACTGGGAGATGTTATGAAGTTGGTGAAAAGAACAATGAAACTGTTGAGGATAGTTGACAAGAAGGTTGACCAGTTTAATGGAAGATTGGACCCGCTAGAGGAGTTTGTTAAGGAAGCACAAGGCAAAGCAGTAGAGGTAGATGAAGCAGAATCACAAGGGAAAGGTAAAAAGCAGAAACGCAAGAAGTCTTTAGAGAAAGGCAAAAAACAGAAAAGCTAAGTGAAGTCGAGTGAAGAACCTATGGTTTTATGTTTAATGTTTTTATTTTGTAGAGAAAAAAAGTCTTTGGATGTAGATCTAGTTTTTGATGTGGATTTAGAACTTTAACCATGTTATGACTATGTTGTTATGACTATTTTGTTAGGTTGTTATTTCTGAACATGAGATCTTCGACAGATTACAAACTTTTAAATGAACATAAGATAAGATTCAAGACTATCTAGAATTATAACATAAGTCTTCGACAGAGTACAAACTTTAAAATGAACATGAGATAAGATTCAAGACTAGCTTGAATTATAACATAAGTTTTGAAATGAAAAGAGACACTTATACAAGTCTTAACAAACAAAGACTTGTATTAACCGAAATTGAGAAATACATAGTTTTTAAAACATCCATGAACTCAATACTTAGCAATCTCTTGGACGGGAGGTGGAGGTAATAAGCCTCTTAAGCTTAGCAATCTCTTCAGCCATATCATTGACCTCCATCCATAGGTGCCTCATTTCCTTCTCAACACCAAAAGTCCATGGCTGACGAAAGTGCATCCCATCATCCTGCACAGTTTCACCCAAAGTATAACACAGTTTCACACAGTATGACTAAACACAGTTTCACCCAGAGTATAACTCAGTTTCACCCAGTATGACTAAACACAGTTTCACCCAGAGTATAACACAGTTTCACCCAGTATGACTAAACACAGTTTCACCCAGAGTATAACACAGTTTCACCGAGTATGACAGACACAGTTTCTACAAAGAAGGAAACTACCTCATAATTCTTGCAGGTGAAGTACCTACTTCCAGGAAAGGTATCGAAATCGTGGCGATACTTCGGATTTGGAGACACATCTGTCTTGATTTCACCACCACATGGGCAACGGGTAGGAATTCCATATTGAGCATCGCAAATGTAACCTAACCCGTCGTAGTGTTTCTTCAGCTTCTTCATATCCTTCTCCTCTTCGTACGGATGAGTCATGGTCAGTAAAGGGGAAGGGAAAGAGTAAAATCGTGGATGTAGAGAGAATATGAGGATAGAGAGGAAAGATAATGGATTATGAGATGTGTGTGGGAGTGGGAGGACGAGATGAGAGAAAAGAGTAGAGAGAGAGAGTGCTTGGCTTGGAAGTGACAAAAGTGAGTAGACAGAGCAAAGTTGATGAGACAAGAGGGAGAGTCACGAGAAAGGGAATCTAACTTTGACCGAAATAATTGAAAATTTTGGAATATTTTCGCTTTGGCGCGAAAATAAAAATTATTTTTCCCCCAAACAAATTTGCTCATAGTTTTACTGAAGTTTCAGGTGTTACCAAATTTGTTCATAGTTCTATTTTTTGTGATTTCAACATTTTTTTAGTTTTACGTATAATTTGAACTTGTGAATAAAGTTTTATTTTTCATTTTTCCACATTACCATGGAAGCATAATTGAGAAGTGCAATAATATTGTTAAAATCACGAGAATTATAGAGTACTACTTTGTAAGCTGCTCTTTATTAAGAAAGTGATCTTGGAAAGACTATATAATGCATAAGATAAAATGTGATATCAATGAATCATGTTAGTTAATATTTCTTATTTTGCAATAGTATTGTCGATGAATATGATGTTGATGAATTAGTCAAGTGATTGTGGTTGGATTAGAGCGGATTATGTCATGTTAATATCTCTTAACTTAGTAACACCTTTATTAACTTAGTAACACCTTGTTTTACTAGTTTTCCGTGGTTTTCCAATACATAGTTGAGAGTTTCCAAACAGAGAAACATAAGTAAACACGGAGAATACATAAGTAAACACAGAGAATACATAGGTTCCTAAACCCTTAAACATTTAACTAAACATAGAGATTTTGAAAGTCTCTAATAATTTCCTCTTCTTCTTGAATCCTCTCCAAATTTTTTGTCAGTTCTGCAATGGTTTCGTTTAGCTGTTCGATCACTCTACTCTGCTCTTGGATCTCATCCCGGGCTTCAATCAAAGCCATTTTTTGCCATTCTGTACCATCCTCGACATCAAACCATTTGAAGTATTTGCATCCATTTTTCTCCTACCACAAATTCCTTATAACGCGGACAACAATAATTTATTTATCAATCTCAGATCACAATTTCTATCATCAGCTAGGATACCTTATAACGCGGACAGCCATAAAATCGTCCCCCAGGGTTCTTGTCTGTCCAAGCTTATCTTATTTCAGCATCTAAGCGACAGAAACACAATTTCCTTCCAGAATTTTGCCTTCTCATAGACGATCCCGAACCATCTCCTTGCATCTCCGAAATTTTCTCCTCAGAAGTAGAAGAGTCTCGAGAGAGAGAAGAGAGAGAGAGATATGCAAAGAGAAGAGAAGAAAATGCAGTAATTATTTCATTTATTAGATTTTTAAAGAAGAAATTCGGGTATATTCAGAAAACGTTATACTTAGTTATACTTAGTTATACTTAGTTATACCAATCCGATTAAAAAGCAAAAGCAACTCTCCAAGTTTTAAAATCCCCAAAACAACACTCCAAGTTCAACATACCAAAAGCAACACTTCAATTTCAACATACCAAGTTCAACATACCAAAAGCTCTAGTTTGGTTCACTTGGATTATTAGTATGCATTCCAAACAACAACCAACTAAACCTGAAATTTGTCCTCGGACGCCTTACATTTTGTGTCCTTTTACGCCGTTCCCCAACTGATGGATTCCTATTAACCTTTTTCCTTCCCTTCCTCGTTAGCTTTTTTGGAGGTATGATCTGGAGCTTTTTGATGTCATCTGGTACATTCCATTCAGACTTGTCCGGCACAGAATAAATGGTCATGTAATAAGCCATTGCCCAAAGTTCTGTCCAGTAATACTGTAAGCTCAACTGATGATACTCTATGTGGACCTCACGTCGACGACCATGAGCAGCAGGTACCTCAAGGAAATATAAGTAAGCAACAAATCCGTGAAGACAAGGATACTTTTCATAATCATATACGTTGCAGCTACATGTCTTCGCTATCAAGTTCACCAAATAAACCTTCCCATCGTCAATGTCGGTTACCTCGTACTCAAGATCATAACTATTCAGCTCACGAACTGGCGTTTTCTCAGCTTTGCCCCATATGTTGTGCAAATGGTTCTCAACCAGAGGAACCAGTTTGGTATCAATCGATCCAGACACGGCGTCCTTCCGATGTTCATTAAACCTGTCAGAAATCTTTTTGATTATTGTATCCAACATTGGTATCAAGGCATACCTCCTTGCGTCCCTAAACGCGCTATTCATTGACTCCACACTGTTGCTAGTGTCCAAGTTGTATCTACAACCTGGAAAATAGACCTTAGCCCATGTTTCTTTGTTAGTGTTCTCCTCCACATATTTGAAGGCTGAAGGATATCTCACTTTAATGCATAAGCAGCCTCGAACTCATGCACTGTGTAATACCTAACCAACTCCATAAATCTCCATGCCACTACGGCTTTGATGGTCTTACAAGCATGATTTCTCACATTTGGAGCTAGATGCCATATACAATGGCCATGGTGAGATTGTGGATACACATTTGCTACAGCAGTGATGAGGCTCTGATTCCTATCACTCATAAATACTATTTCAGAAGAGTCTGGTATAACAGTTTTGAGCATCTCGAAAAACCAAGTCCAACTAGCATTATTCTCACCGTCGGGTACCCCAATCGCGAGGGGATAATGGTGACGATTAAGATCATGAGCTTTAGCAAATACTAGTACACCGCCATATCTGTTCTTCAAAAACGTAGCATCCACAAGAATCACTTTCCTCATGACCTTAAACCCTTCAATGCAAGCTCCTAAAGCTATGAAAAGGTACTTGAACTTACCTGCCTCATCCAACTCCACCCTTGTTGCTGTTCCGGAATTAGCCTGCTCTAACATGTACAAGTAGCTATACAACATCTTGTAGCTGTCTTCTGAATTACCACGCAACTCACGCATAGCTAGATTTTTCCTTCTCAAGGCTGTGGAGTAAGATACTGAAACACCCAGTTTTAACTTTATTAAATCCATAATATCACTCTGAAGAGGAGTCCTCAGTTTTCCAGGATATTCCTCATTCAAAAAAGTTGCAACTAATTCTACAGAGCCTTTCCTCTTGATGTTGCAGCTATTACTTTGACTAGTCCGATAGCATGTATGCACACCCCCGTACCTCCTAATAGAAAAAATTTCCGTCTCTGAAATCCTCGCAGCTCGTAATCCCCATTTACAGCTTTCATCACAACATTTTAACACCAACCGTTTACGATCAGATTTTTTAATAACATAACGAAAGATTTCACCAAATGCAGCTCTATCCACCAACTCTTGAAGTCATCTCTTGTCTGGAAATTCCTGCAGCTTAAACAGACCCAAACCGTCTCCCCATTCTTCTATAACTTGACTACATTTTAGTAAAGGTGGCTGCTCAATATACGTAACTCTCATATTGGTTTCTATATTAGCACTGCTATCCATCTCAGCTGCAGTCTCCGTCTCAGCTGCAGTCTCCGTCTCAACTGCAGTCTCCGTCTCAGAAATGTTGTATGTATCCATAAAATCATCATGTGTTGTATCGTCACCATTCTCTGCTTGTATCACCTCCTTCAGTTGATTTGCTTGCCCCTTTTCAACGTACAGAGTTATGGCGTTAGGTCCGATTACATCATCATTTCCCTGCAACACTTCGTGATTCATACCAAACGAACTTCCGCCCACTCTCGACAGCTTATCTAACTGATCCAAGTTACTGCCTCTACTCGTCTCCTTCACTAACAAAAGACTTCTACGGTTGTCTTTATCAATGGAAAGAAGGTAACCGAACAAATCATCATCATCACAAATTATGCACTCTTCTGATTCTTCACATCCAAACACCATCGGCTTGTACCTCAACGCCAGTTTTACATTCCTTTCATCTAACCTCAGTTTTTTCTACAACCTTTCTTCTACCATTGCCAAAGTTATAGCCTCCACTGTTGTCTTGATGGTTATACAATAGATGCGATCTCTGAATTTGAAATGTAAGCACATGTGTTTCGACATTGCATCCTGCAAAAACAACAAAATAGAGTTATAGTTATACCAGTTGCTCTTTGTTCTACATAGTTTTAATCAGTTATACTAGTTTTACCTATTTCTATTTCAACTAAAATCAATTGAAATTGAGGTTTCGGGTACTATAAACTCAATATCTCAATCCCATACATTCAACCATATGCTTGCATTGTTTCACATGAGGTAATTGCTCCACATACCCAATCTCATCTCAAAATAATCATATATATATATATCCAATTACAAACCCAATCGAGGGAGAGGAGAGGAGAAGAGAAGAGAACCTGCATTCTGGCCTACTACTCTAAGCCTTGCCAGTGGAAATGTTTTCGTCCGGCTGCGTTCTCCTGGAGAATCTACCAACGTCTTCTAAGCTCAAGCCAAGAGGATCCGATAAATGGGGACAACGTCGACGAGAGGAGAGGAGCTGGGAGCTTTCTATTGATTTCTTTTTTTCATTTAATTTTATTAATTGATCCACTCCAATCCAATCCAATCAATTCAATTGAAATCCAATTCGATTTCAAAACCAAAACCGAGCTATCCCAAACCCACCTCAACCCAAACAACCTAAACCAGTAACCACACATATAAACCAATTCGATTTTGTAATTTGTTTTTTTCGCCCACGAAGGGCATTTTTGTCTTTTCATCATTCATTAACTCCAGAGGGCCATAGGCGATTGAGGGAGCTCATAAGGGATTTTACCTTTCACATTTAAGGGCAATGGAGCAATTGCCTCTTTTCTCTTTCATTTAATATTACTGAACAACACTTACTGTTACTATGCATACATTTCACCGATTAAACCGATAGGCTAAGAACTGAGAACGGTTCCGTGCAGTATAATGTAGATGAAAGTTTAAATTAGAGTAACAAGAATGGGACTCAAGGATGTGTTAAACGTCATTCTCTTATATGCATA